TAACGCGATTTTACTTCTGGAACTATAAGTCCAAATGAGTTGAAATTTTCAGGGATTGTATTCCTCCATGAGGATGAGAATCGCTGAAAATTTCAACTTTCTGACTTGGATTTCTGAAAACTTTGGAAAATCATCAACTTCTTCTCTTTATAGATAGAAAGCTGAAATTTTCAGCGATTCTCATTCCCATAGAGGACTATAATCTCTGATAATTTCAGCTCATTTGGTCTTATAGTTCGCTTTAAGGAATTTACTGGAAATTTTTTGATTTTTCAATTTTTCTGAGGTCCCTTTTCCAAAGAATAATTTAGTGTATGGAGTTTGGGGGATTCCAAATGATCATTCAAGCAATAATTATTGTAGTACCTACATAACTGAGTAAATATAATAGTTCTCATGTGATTAATCCCCTAAGACTAATGAAAATAATTAATAATACATGAGATTGAATAAATATATGTCAACAGCTTGGAGATTGTTTTGAAATTGAACTCTTTCAGATACATAAATTCTTTTTCATTGTTACCTAACAGGAAGTTGCTACAACCATATTTATAAAAATTTATTAGGATTTTTATTTTTATACATCTAGTTTTAAAAATCTACATCAAAAGAGATCAGTCATCTCTGGCAGCGTCAGTTGTTGAAAACGATGGGAACATTATGCAATTTCATGTTGATTTTTTTTTTAAAACAATACTTAATTGTTGCTGCAGTTTAACAGGTTGCGATTTACCGGTTAAAGGCAAGGCCATATAGCTTTCAGAGCGAATACCTCTGTTCTAATATCATAATCATCACCTAATAATATAAAGTTTCATCTAAATTATGCAAAAAGTGTAAAAGGCATTATTAAACCCAGATCTACATAAAGACGTAATAAGTAGAGAATTTTCTTGAATGAAATTTTATTAAAACCCTGCAAGAAAGGTCAGTGATGAGATAATAAAATCGAATAAAGAAGGTGTACCTATATGATGCCATTAAACTGGTTTTATAAAGTAGGTAAGTTTGTTCTTCACCAAAGGAAAAAAGTTCCTATATCTGTGTCAGTGAGTCACGTCAGATTAGCTAGAGGCTATTAAATAATACTCATTAAGAATTGCAGCAGTATGTGGATTTTTTTTTCACTATTATAATGCTCCCGTTTTTCTCATTTACGTATAGTATTATACAGTTAGTTTGACAGATGGTAGGTGAACAAAATTTGTTTATTCAAGACAATAATTATAATAACAAACTGTACTGTGTACTATAATTAATACCACTAATAAACTATGCTTTACACCCATCATCATCATCATCGGTAGAATAATAATTACACTCATCAGGGCCTAAATGTGGGTGTGTAGGTTTACCTGAATACCACCGCGCATTCAGTTACATTCTTCCACGTTTTACGTTCTGCTGGGTATCTTCAGCATTTCCTCATTGTTGGTGATTTAGTGGGTCAGGATGGGTAGCCACTAGAAATGGATGATGGATGGCTGACCAACGGTTATTGGTTTTATTTTTCGCAATGTATTAGCCAGTATATTTTCAAATTTGACCTTTTTGTCTGATGGTAAAAGTATAAGAGGTCAAAGGTTGCATTCTTATGCCAGGCGTTGTTTTTTTTTTTTTTTAATTGGTCACGATCTGAATAATTTTAATGTTTTAGAATTCCGACATTTTACACATAGAAATGAGTCTGTATATTAAATTCAATGAAAGCTAAGATTCTTTCTAAGGTTTTTCTTAAAAGTGTGTTATATTTTATGTAGGTATGTATTATGGTGCCAAAGCAAACATCATTATTGGTATAAGTATAAACTTTGGTCAAGTCTCGCAAAGCTTGGCAATAAATGGTTCACTGGTGATATTTAGTTAATTACTGTAAACTTCCAAGTTTGTTTTGTATGTTGATGAATATTTTGAATGACCAGCTCTGCAGAGAAAGTATCAAGACAATTATTTATTCATGTAAATTGTGGATATTGATTGCAAAAATTGTACAATGTCATTTTAAAATCGCATGTTAGTTCATCCATGTGGTTTAGTGAAATTATTAAACGAATACACACCGCTCGATTCAAATGCAGAGAAATCTGAAACTCGCCAAGGCGATCGACTTTTATTATAATACTTAATTCCATTCTCGATGGTAAAAACAAAAACATTTATGAAAACGAATAATTTGCATAAAACTGTCTGCTGGTACTACTCCACTATGCTTCTTTTAGTCATAGAAAAGAGTGAGTTATGCACTACTTGTTTTTCTTTCATTATTAATTTGCATAATATTGAATGTTATTTTCACAGGATTGCTAAAGTACCTAACTGTACTGTGGACAAATTTATTGTCAGATTCAAAATATATTAATTGTAAAAGCTGCAAAGTTTAATATAGAATTCATAAATATCTACTTACCTACTAAGAATATCTGAATTATCGTGGATTGTGGGAAGTGTAGCTAAGCAATGTGGAGTGAATATTTCAATTTTTCATTTGGGATTCCTCAAACTCCATACACTAAATCATTCAGAAATTTGAATCTATGAAAAAAAATTGAAAAATTGATAAATCACCCCAAATTGCTCGCCACGATTTTAGTTCTGGAACTATAAATCCAAATGAGCTGAAAATTTCGGGGATTGTAGTCCTCTACTGGGATGAGAATCGCTTAAAATTTCAGCTTTCTATCGATAATAGAAAAATAGTCATGACCTTTCAAAGTTTTCCAAAATCTAAATCATAAGGTAACTATTGTCCGTCGTTTTTAATCTGACACTTTCCGTATGAGGAGTGAGGGGGTGATGTATCTGGCAAAACAGGTGTGACGTCAGGTGACCATTCGCGTTCTAATGTAGGGTGCCACCAGTTCACATTCCTTTCGAGTATCAGATAAAATCGACGTACTTTATCTTTTTACTAAAACGATGAAATTTCAATTTTTTTTTTGTTGAGATTTTGTGCCTCAATGGTCCTTTGGGATCCCCCAAACTCCATACACTTAATTATTCTGAGATTTGGAGCCGGAATCTATGAAAAAAGGCACTCAGAAAAATTGAAAAATTGATAAATCACCCCAAATTGCTTAACACGATTTCATTTCTAGAACTATATAAGTCCTAATTAGCTGAAATTTTCAGGGATTGTAGTCCTCTACTGAGATAAGAATCATTGAAAATTTCAGCTTTCCGTCTATAATAGAAAAAAAGTTATGACATTTCAAAGTTTTCCAAAATCTAAATCATAAGGAAACGATGATATTTCAATTATTTTTTTTTGAGATTTTGTGTCCCAATGGTCCTTTGGGATCAGGGTTGGCAAATATCATGATATTTATATAAATATCCAAGTATCCGATATATATCGGATATTATATCAAAATTTGGATATTTATTTATATTTTTAATAAATTGAATTAGCTCATCTGTTTTCTGTTATCTATATTATTAAAATTCAAAATAACTTGAAGGTAAAAAAGGAAGCATAGAATTAATTAACATTGAAAATAGGCCGCCGTAAATTTCAACCAAATTTCAATATTTTAACTCCAAAAAGGTCAAAATCAGATTAGTATTTTTCGATATATTCAAGTAAAATCTACGTAGGGATATTTCCTCTGATATTTCCTAGGCATAGCATAGCAGGACCTACATACTTTGATGAGCTATATCTGCTCTCACAGACATATGATCCTCTTTAGATTTCAAATTTTTCTTTGGAATGATGATGCCTTTAAAATATTGAAATTTGGTTGAAATTTAGGGGGGCCTATTTTCAATGTTAATTATGCCTCCTTCTTTAGTAAAATGTTACAAACATGTAAAGTTGGTATGGCGATAACAAGTGTCAGTACTCCTATCTCCTATACATATGTATAGGAATGTAAAGTGTAGTATGTATATGAAAAATAATAAAAATTCGAGTTTAAGATATGAAAACTTCTATGTCATTTATACTACTTATGTTTGCCTTAAGCCGTGGTTCAACAATAAACAAAAAATGATAACTCAGAACTCAGAACAAAAAAAAAACTAAAACTTAGGGCGGGTATTATAAAACTATTTTGACAGAATAACTAGAAGTTAACTTCTGGAATGACAGTACTTCTCATAGTAATTCCAGAAGTTAACATTTAGTTATCTGTCAAAATAGTTTCATAATACCCGCCCTAAAAAACCTGATATTTCTTATACACAAATAAAAATAAATAAAAAAATAATTGATAATAATTGACGTAATATAGACTGTTTTGGCCGAGATCCCTGTGATTTCCTTCTCATAAATATATTACTACGGCCGTTAAACTTCTTAACATAAAATAATAAAACTATAAAATAAGAAAAAAAGGCCAAACAAATAATATTGATATATATCATGATATTTATAGCATAAATATCATGATATTTATCAAGATATATATCAGGATATTTATCGCTGATATATATCCTGCCAACCTTGTTTGGGATCCCCTAAACTCCATGTACTAAATTATTTTGCGATTTAGATTCAGATTCTATGAAAGCACACACAGCACTCAGAAAAACTGAACAATTCATAAATCACCCCATATTGTTTAACACGATTTTATTTCTGGAACTATAAGTCCAAATGAGCTAAAATTTCCAGGGATTGTAATCCTCTACTGGGATAAGAATCGCCGAAAATTTCAAATTTGTATTCATAATAGATAAAAGTTATGATTTTTCAAAAATTTGAATCATAAGGTTTTGTGTTCCATTATCATAGTATGCAAGTGAAATGGATACTTTGTGCTTTGTCTTAAATTACTTAAAAACATGCTTATATATTTTCTAATCATTTAGAGAAATTCTAGGTACATGATTATGATGCCATAGTCAGTTGGAGTACCAAGCTAAATAAGTAAACTTCGTAGAATTGAAACGATATCTTGGGTACAAAAATACAATTTTATCTCAAATCGCTGATAATGTTTAGTCAGCTGATAAAATTTAGCCATTACACCTTTTATCTCGCAATAGGAACATTTTGTTAACAAACGTTCGTGCGCGATAAGACTCAACAAGAATTTTTCAATAATAGCTGTGTTTTAATTTGGACTGCAAATAGCAGAATATGGCTGAATCGCGAGCAGCAACTTCACGGCAGTTTTCACATGGTAGGTAATTTATTTAGTGCTTTTTCATACTAAAACGTAGGTGGAGCTGCCTTTGTTATATTTTCCACCTATAATTTTTATGATAGAATTTGGAAGGACTTTTGGTTTTAGACAATTCTGAGTTCAGACTAAGGGCCAGTTCAACAATTCAACTATATCCTAGCATAAAAGTTCATTCTAGAACTCAAAAATGAACTTTTATGCCTATACTCAGGATATACTTGAATTGTCGAACCTGTCCTAACTATCAACAGAAATTCTTTATAATACAATTAAAAAACTGGATTAAGTAAATAAAGATTGTCTTGACAACACAGCAACTATTTACATAGTTACTTTTTGAAGAGCATTGAAAAGGCAAATAACTTTTTTTTCAATAAATACCTGCTTCTACGTATATTATGCCAAAAATTCAAATGAAAACTCTTTACCATTCTGCTATACCTTTTGTGAAAAGTTATGCATGACCTAGTAAAGCAAGTTCCAAATAAACCGTAAGCGCAATAGAAAAAAATAAAAAAAGGTTTTCAATTTTTCAGGTATCATGGATATGCGTTCGCTGTAAACATAATTACAATACAAAAAATTTGCACAGAAAATAAATAATTAAGTAACTTGTTTTAATTATTGTTATATTATATTATGTTACATTTAAAAAAAAAAAATATCTTTGGCTGATGATGGAAAAAAATTCCAAATTCTAATCTAAAATTTATCTGAACAGTTATCAGACTATCAGCAAACCCATATACTAATAAAATTAGCTTAATGCTCTATTGCCCAAATAAATTATATTTTAATTTTATGTACTTAATTTTCAGATATTGATTATTTTTTACTCAAAATTTACTACTTAGTTATAAATATAACAACAATGACGAAATGTGTATTCTAAGGAAAAGACAATATTTGTTTAAAATATCAAAACCTTGATCGTTTCAATATTATCTGGAGTGTTTTGTTGTTAGCCATATTAGGTATTATATTCCTTTAATCCAAAAACACTTGAAGCCAACTGAAATATTAATATTACTAATGACAATAGAAATATTTCCTATTTTATATAACTTCAAGATTAATATTAATTTATTATTTATCTGAAGTGAAAAAGAGATTAACTGCTGTGTGTGAGAATCGACACATATTCAATTTTCATTGCTATAAATAAACGTAGAAAAGCAAAACCTGCCTCCAAGAAACCGTAGAAATTAATCCAATATCATATTATAGAAAAAAATCGGATTTCCCAAGGTAATTGATATCACACCTATTGATTTTGCAACATCGGTGAGATAAAACTCATCCTGTCCTGCCCATGGATTTATATGTTAGAACTTTTACACATTGTGAATTGTAACCCAGAAACCAATTCCACATCCTTGCCAAATGTACATGGCTTTTGAGAATATGCAATATGGGTTTATTATTCTCTTTTTTTCGATTGGGCATAATATAACAGAAATTTTCTATAGCTTTTTATATTATGTTATGTGAAATGTATATTCACTAGATTGTATTTATTTTTGCTGTAAAAACAGAGTTTGCAGGATTTTGTTAAGAGAAATCAATAGAAACCTACCAAGAATTAATCTTTTGTAATATCAGGTTTGTAATGTAATGCGATTGCGAGAAAAGAGAATTCTCTGAATGTAATATAAAATCTTTTAATTCGTCCATGTAGGTGCACTTTGACATTATTATTTTCTCTTAGGGTACACCCATGCTCATGCAATACTTCAAAAACAAGTTACATTAAGTTATTTATTTATATATTCATTAATTATCTACCTAATAATTTCAATTAGGTAGATTCCTATTACCTAAGTATGTATATTATTAACGCGATTTTTATCACTGGAATTTCCTTAGTACTAAAATGATGTGTTTTGTGTTTGAATGATCTCCAAACTCCATACACTAAATTATTTTGAGATTTGAAGCCAAAATCTTAGAAAAATTGATGTGTCAGGAAAATTGAACAATCGGAAAATTTACCCCAAAAAACATGATTTTATTTCTGTAACTATAAGTCTAAATGAGTTCAAATTTACAAAAATATCATAATTTGCCATATTCCCGACACGTGAAAGTGGCCCATTGCTGAAAATTTCAGCTTTCTATCTATAATAGAAAAAAAGGTATGACGTTTCAAAGTTTTCCCAAATCTAAATCATAAGGTAGGTAGCTACCTCAGTACTAAAACTGAAACGATGAAATTTCAGTTTTTTTTTTGTCGAGATTTTGTGTCCTAATGGTCCCTTGGGAGCCCCCAAACTCCATACACTAGATTATTCTGAAATTTGGAGCCGAATTCTATGAAAAAAGGCACTCAGAATAATTGAAAAATTGATAAATCACCTCAAATTGCTTTACACAATTTTATTTCTTGAACTATAAGTCCAAATGAGTTGAAATTTTCAGGAATGGTAGTCCTCTACTGGGATAAGAATCGTTGAAAATTTCAGCTTTCTATCTATAATAGAAAAAAAGTTATGACCTTTCAAAAAGGTTTCCAAAATCTAAATCATAAGGTTCACTACTTCAGTACTAAAACGATGAAATTTGAAAAATCGAAAAATTCACCCCACATTGTTTAAGCCAAAAACATAATGTTCACAATAAAATGGTTTTAATTTTATTTTATGACTAATCTCATTTTATTTTTTATTTTTTCCATAATAACTAGTTACTACACCCACAGTTCACCCACGTTACACTTACTTTACAGTTTACTGTATATTTTTTATTACTATATTGTTTCCTAATTTTTTAAAAGCCATGCAATGTTAATTGAATAAGGAATTTTAAAAGACAAAATCTTGTTTCAGCTGGTTCTCTACAGTATGAAACCAGCGCAAGCTACACATTCCAAAATAGATCCAACATGAGTCAAAGGGATGAAGTGCAAAAATTCGAGCAGGGTCGTATCAAGGTCCTACAAGAAGAACGACTCCACATACAAAAGAAAACTTTCACAAAATGGATGAATTCATTCTTACAAAAGGTAATTGCTAGTGTTATAAATTACCAAATATTAATTCTTGAGTTTTCTCAGGTGCGTATGGAAGTAGAAGATTTATTTGTCGATCTAGCAGATGGAAGAAAACTACTCAAACTTCTTGAAATAATATCTGGGGAAAAATTAGCAAAACCGAACAATGGAAAAATGCGGGTGCACAAAATCGAAAACGTCAATAAAAGTTTGGCTTTTTTGCACACCAAAGTCCGATTGGAAAGTATCGGTGCCGAGGACATTGTAGACGGCAATCCCCGCTTGATACTAGGCCTAATTTGGACGATAATTTTGAGATTTCAAATTCAAGAAATCGAAATTCAATTGGACGAAGAAAATGAGAGTTCGGAGAAAAAATCGGCTAAAGACGCCCTTCTTTTGTGGGCTCAAAGAAAAACGAACGGCTACCAAGGCGTAGAAATCAAAGACTTTTCGAGCTCGTGGAGGACCGGACTCGCTTTCAATGCCCTCATCCATTCTCACAGGCCGGATTTGTTTGACTACAATCGTTTGCCTGGCGGTAAAAATATTGACAACCTTAACCATGCCTTTGACGTGGCAAACAACGAGTTGGGTATACCCAGCTTGTTGGACGCCGAAGATGTGGACACGTCCCGACCGGACGAGAAAAGTATTATGACGTATGTGGCCTCATATTATCACACGTTCGCCCGAATGAAAAATGAAGAAAAATCTGGACGAAGAATAGCAAAGGTAAGTGCAAAAAATTGTTACATAAAAATTAATTCCAACCACTCACTACTTTAGATTGTTAGTCAAATGGTTGAAGCAGACAAAATGAAAATCAACTATGACCGTCTCACAACCGACTTACTTGATTGGATAAATTTGAAAATTGTAGAATTGAAAGACAGAAACTTTGCCAATTCCTTGGAGGGTATCCAAAGTTTACTGCTAGCATTCGGCCAATATAGAACTCAAGAAAAACCACCAAAATATATAGAAAGAAGCGAAATTGAGGCGTTATATTTCAACATAAACACCCAGCTCAAAGAATTGAGGCAACCAATGTTCAACCCAGCAGATGGTAAATTGGTGCAGGATATTGAACGGGCATGGGATATACTTGAAAAAGCCGAACATAGTAGAGAGGTGGCTTTAAGAAATGAATTATTGAGACAGCAGCGACTAGAACATTTAAATTACAAGTTCGAAAAAAAAAGCATCCTCAGAGAAGGCTACCTGAAGGAAATGATACAAGTTTTATCTGATGCGCGTTACGGTTCTAACTTGGCTCAAGTGGATGCTACAGTAAAAAAACATGAAGCAATAAGCGCCGATATTTTGGCTAGAGAAGAACGTGTCCATGATCTAACCCAAATGTGTAAAGAACTGGTTGGAGAAAAATATAGAAACTCAGAAAAAGTAAAAGCCAGAGAAGCAGTTATATTGCAGCAATGGCGTGATCTGATAGCCTTGTTGGAAAAACACAAGGCCAATCTAAATCGAATGGGTGCTATTATGGCCATTTTGAGAGAAATCGATACTACTCTGGCCAGCATAGAACAACTCAAAATTGACTTGTCTTCTACAGATATTGGCATACACTTGATGGCCGTCGAGGACTTGTTGCAGAGGCACGCTTTGCAGGAATTACAAGTTTCCAGCATGGGAGAAAGCGAACGCAAACTGATCAGATCTGGGGAACAAATTGCTGCTCAAAATCCCAAAGAAGCGGATATATTGAAGAAGAAATTGGCAGATTTGTCAGAGGCTTACAAAGAGCTTAAGGATGTAAGTGCTCAAAGAAAAGCCATCCTGGAAGAAGCCAGGAATTTTTACCAATTCATCCAGGACCAAGAGGACGAAGAAGCTTGGCTTATTGAAAAGCAGAGAATATGCCAGGCGGGTATAACAGCCAAGGATTTGCGAGGCGTCGTCTCGTTGCAACAGAAACACAAGGTTTTAGTAGACGAGATTAAACGAAGACGCAACAAGTTTGACCAATTAGGAGCTACTGGTATACAGTTGATCGAAGAAAAACATCCCAGGTAAGCTAACACAATGTTCTGTTCGAATCTTCTGGATTTTTCTCCTTCTATTCTGAATATTATGTGCTTAGTGTTTCCCTGGTTATCTTAACCATCTTACTACGCAGTGGCGACGGCGCTCGGATGCGCTGGGCCCTTGAGCAAATATCATAATTAGGTCCCCCTACCCTTGTAGTTGTGTTCGAATTCTGACTATTACCGGCTCTTGATTGGCTCCAGGAAAGTTTTACAGAGAATCACGAGCCAGCCATTGTTCAAATTTTGATTATCTGTGGCTTTTGACCTGTTGGATAATTTTTCTTGAGCCAATTAGCAACTGCGGCAGAAGAAATTTTGATTCATGAAGCTGCTTAATGTTCATTGGAACTTTTCATTATAATCGGCTTTTGAGCTTTGGCTGCCATAGACGCCGAAACCATGGGGGCAATGGGGGCTTGAGCCCCCTAGTGATTTAGGTATTACATGTAGTGGGCTGTGGTAGTGGGTAGGTAGAAAAATATTTAGTTCTTAACTGTTAATTTTTATATCAAATTTGTGTTTTATGTTTTCATTGTTTTTGCTATACCTACCTACATTAAGGCGGATCGTCCTTTGGACACGTTTTTGGTCCAAATTGCATTCGTCAGAAATTGGACAAAAAAGTGCGAACGGTCCCATTTCAGTGAAACCCCAATGACGGTCGTACATTGTACCCGATATTATTCATGCGAATTCGGACGAAAACATGCGATTGCGAAAAAAATTGGATTTTTCGCAGAAGTTCTCGATTTGTGTGTGTTAACTGGGTTATTGAGAAGATAGAGAGATGGATATCGAAAAATTCATTAATTTGATATGGAAAAAAAACCTTTGTGGACTGTCAAATCATATCATGAGAGACATGCATGACAGTTTGAATATCTTGTTGTGTACTCTGGTTGTGTAGTATTAAACCTATATTTTCAATAAGTCATTGGATTATTATTTCCTTTCCGTTTGTTTTCATGATAGATCTGTTTTTTTACCTAGTTTATCATGAAAAAAATTCAATAATCCCCTGAGGGCGAATCGGTGATCTAATAGGTGAAAGGGGTCCAGAAAAGTTGATATTCCAGCCCTCTCCGACTTACCGGAGCGGTTTTAGCCCCTATACCCCCAATTTTGGAAAAGGGCGTGTAATGGTGCATTTACTTTTCCGAATTTTGAGAAATAGAAAATACCACCGGATAGAGGAGCCAAAAATACGTCGAAAATATTTCTTGGTGTTTTTCACTCCGCCGCTTCGTAAGCCCGGAAAAAAATAAAAAAAAATTGATCCTGGAACATTTTGGGGACCCGACACGGCGCCACTTTTTCGCCTATAACTTCGGTAATTTCGAACCGATTGTCTCGAAAAGAGCAATCAATTCCAGGCTGTTTCTGTCTCCCAGATATAAGCCGTCAAAGTTGAAATTTCTCTGAAAATGTATTGAAAGTTATGAAGTCGATTTTCTCAAAAACGGTGCCCCGTGGAAAGGTAACTCTAATAAGCTTTTTTGTAGTTCTCAATGAGATCTACAGGTTTTGTATTTAAGGTTTTTCTCCCAGGCTCTCTGTTTTCCAGCTAGGATGCTTTGAAATTTTGAAAAAAAAATAAAAATAAAGGCTGTTTTGTATTTTTTTTGTCACGACGGTCTAAAGGGGATCCCAAATATCTCCTAAATGGGTTCAGTTTATTTTTTTCTCTCGTTTTTTCGATTTTTTTTTTCGAAATATATGTTTTTGATATAATACTGGGTGTCCCAATAGAAAGTGACCGATTTTAAATGCTTATAACTTTCAAACCAGGTGTGCTAGCTACCTGTGATTTGGGCCATTCGACTTTTCTTGGCCTAAAGTTTTTTTTCAGGTAGTTGCAAATTTTTTTGACACCTATACAGGGCGAGTAAAAAAAATGCTGTTTTTCAACATCGAAATTCTACACTATTTTTAATGGAACACCCTGTATGTTGCAACGCCAAAATTAAGAGTCGTGACCAAGGCATTCATTTGCCAATAAACGTCGGCCTTTTTTGAACCTAAAAAAATGCATTTATTTTTGAGCCAGATTTCTATTTCAATTTTTTAGGGCTAAAACTTCAAGTTCCATGCCCGATGTTTATTGGTACATCAATATCTTGTACACGACTCTTAATTTTGGCGTTGCAACATACATGGTGTTTCAATAAAAATAGAGGAGAAATTCGATGTTGAAAAACGGCATTTTTTTACTCGCCCTCTCGCTCGCCCTGTATAAGTGTGAAAAAAATTTGCAACTAACTGAAAAAAACTTTAGGCCAAGAGAAGTTGAATGGTGCAAATCGCAGGTAGCTAGCACACCTAGTTTAGAAGTTATAAGCATTTACAATCGGTCACTTTCTATTGGGACACCCTGTATGATTTTATAATAAAAGTAACGTTCTACTATAAATTCTTATCAAAATTTGTAAAAATGACCGCATCCCCGCTTGCCCTCACCATTAGGAGTCCTAAAAATACCGTAAAGAGACCAAATTTCGCGCCTGCGGCGGAGCTTCAAGAATTTCTCCATAGAAATTTGCCCCCTCTACTCAAGACACAATCCTGGCTACTCCAATGGTGCTGCCAAAGTCGAATATTCGAATATAGCCGAGATGCCAGAAATCCACGAATTTTAATAATATGCAGCGATGATCAATGATCCAGAGTGACGATCCTGCAGTGAAATTGTTATCTGTCAACTGGTTCCAATTAAGCCTATATGTGTGTATAGTAGTCTAGTCCTGTCTGTATAATTAATTCTACATCTGGTAATTTTTGGACCCCGAGCCCCCGTAGTAATTTTGAAATTCCGGCGCCTATGTTGGCTGCCCTTATAAAAATTCTCTTGCGAATCTAGACAGGGCCGGCTCCAGACATTTCGGCGCCCCGTGCAAAAGGTAGTTTTGCCGTCCCTCTTAGGTACCGATTACTTTCCTACTTTATAGTTCCAGTACTACTCTCGACTCTCGGTACTACCTATTTGCTAAACTTACTTTTGATTTTAATTTTGTTCAGTGTCCTTATATGATATCGGAGCTGTTTCTAGTACAGACAAAATCTACTCGGGTACCGTGGTACTTTGCTCAAAATGTACTCGAGTACAGAGTACAATCCGAAGAATTCAATACCCAAGTACTCAAAGTACCGAGTACATTTATGAATACATTCCACACAATGCCACCGCATATCAATGACGTCTTAAAGTTGTTACGCACCTCCTCTTTTGAACCACCCTTGATTATTGATATGAAAGTCTAATACCACCTTAGGCCGCAAGCGCTGATGTTACTGCGCACTAATCACTGCGCATGGATTATTACGTCACATCCCCTTTCACACTCCGTTCCATTTCCCAGAATTTACCCTCAAACCGCCGGTATAGATGTTCACACATCAAAAATTGAAAAACACATTTTGATTTCCTATAAATCAGTTCAGCAATTTTACGGTTTGGTTGGGTTAACCAGAGTCCAGAGTTTATAAGGGCTCAGATTTTTTAAATTTACGTTCTCAGGCACATCGTTATAGTGCACAGAAAAGTTCAAGATTTTCGTTTGCAAATCACAACGAATAACGGAACGAATGCTACGCATCCGTACGCTACACAAGAAATGCCAGAAAATTGAAGCCACAGATTTCACAGAAATCACAAACCAGTTAGAGCGTTTTTGATTGGTGCAAATCGCCAACAACCCGTTTTCTTGACTGGCAAGGTAAGTGATGGAAACAGGTCTCGTCTGGAAATGTACCTGTGGCCAAATAAATGTACTTAGAGGAGTCCAATAATTTTACGCAGTAACTGCAAATGTATTCGAAAACAATGAAAATATGGTATATGTATTCGAGTATAAATGGATGTACTCGGGTATTTTGAAATTTACTCAGTACAATAAAATGTACCGGGTATTTTTTATATTCTTAAACAGTTCAAGTACAAATTAGGTACAATTACATGATTCACAAAGTATCGTGGCCTGAATACCGAGTAACTCAAAATGTACTTAGAGTAAAAGTGAAGAGTACTTTTACCTTTACCCGAGTACAGCACAAGCATTTTTAAGTTTTTAATGGAATAATTTTATTACTATACCTACTATTTTAATGCAACCTACAATTATCGGCAATTCTCAAATAGCAATTAGGTTTGTTCGGACTTAGTTCAGAATCAGTTCTGAATTGAGCTGCGCATGCGCATTTGTTTATTTATGTTCGATATGAACAAATGCGCAAGCGCAGTTCAATTCAGAACTGATTCTTAACCAAGTCCGAACAAACCTAATAACACCAAAACATAACCTGCAAATCGCTTGCGGACGCGTGAAACTACTAGCGATAGGTGTTTTCGGGTTCTCATTTTTCAAACTGTTCGCTAACCATCATGGAACTGCGCAGAACAAGTTGCGTACTTATTCAGTCATTAGAACTGTGCTCAGATCATTTGGAAATAATCAGAGTTCAAAAAACGAACATGTTATGTTTTATTTAATTTTTTTACAGGGCAGGCAACAATTTTCCCCGAGATTTTTGCCGCCCTTCGATTTTGCCGCCCCGTGCAGGGGCACAGGCTGCACGGGTCCTGGAGCCGGCCCTGAATCTAGAGTTGATAAAAGTTCAAATTTTGACTATTACCCGCTCTTGATTGGCTCCAGGAAAGTTTTTCAGAGAATCAAGAGCCGGTAATAGTTGAAATTTTGATTATCTATAGCTCCCATTTATTCTGTCCCAATGTGGTCAATTAAATAAACCTCAATTTCTCTAGATCAATAGAAATTGAACAACTAATGGAACGTAACAAAAACGCTTGGATATTGGTGGAAAAATTGGCACTCGAACGTACAAAGCAACTGCAAGACGCCGTCGAAGCGTACCAATTCTATGCGGACGCAAACGAGGCGGAATCTTGGTTTTTGGAGAAAGAATCTATTCTAGCTTCGAAAGACTTGGGCTCTGACGAACCTAGTGCCGCTTCGTTATTGCAGAGACACAAAGACCTCGAAGGAGAATTGAATGCTTACCAAGGCGACATTCAAAGTTTGAATTTACAGGCCAATGGGCTAATCGAGGCTGGCATTTCCAATTTGGACTTGAACGCTGAACTTGATGTGGATCATGTTGATGATGTTCAATATGAAATGAGGTAATAAATTAACTATTATTTTTTAACTGAGAAAATTTAAATTATTCCCACAGAATGATTGCAACCGAAGTTTACGTAGACGAACCAGTAGAAAAAGTTGAATATAAAAATATTGTAGAAGAAAGAAAAGTGCCTCAAGTCCGAGCTTTATATCCGTTCAGCGACCACGGCTTGACAATGGTCAAAGGCGAAGTTATGTTTCTGTTAAACAAAAGTAATCCGGATTGGTGGTGCGTGAGAAAAGCTGACGGTGCTGACGGCTTTGCACCAGCAAATTATGTAGTAGAAATCGAACCGCGAATAATCCAAGTAACCGTACGCAAACCAGAAACAGTGAGAACTGTTCAAAAGGTAAAAAAGACCAAAATGGTCAAGACTAAAGTGCCCATCAAAGTACGTCGACCACCCCGTCCGACCAAAAGGAAGATGGACGACAACAATAGTGTACCCAAAAGACAAAAGCAATTGAATGACACGTACACACGATTGCAAGAAATGGCCATAGCCAGGAGAGCCTTACTAGAAGATGCCATCAGATTATTCAGATTTTTCAGAGAATGTGATGACTTTGAAAGATGGATCAGGGATAAAGAGAAGATGTTGTCTGTTGATGATCCCAACGATAGTGTTTTACAGGCAAAGAGAAAGTATGAGGTAAGTTAATTTATTGTCAATAATTTAAGCTTGTCTTCATTCTATTAAACTTCCTAGAAATTTGTAACTGATCTCTCAGCCAGTACAAAACGAATGGACGAGCTCGAAAGAGAAGTCAAAGAATTTGAAAGGCAGAATCACTCACAAATCGACAAACTCCGTGCCAGATTCCGTCAAATTCAACTCGCCTGGCAAAAACTGAACCGACTTAAGGCCACCAAAGAAAAAAGTCTGGAGGGTGCCAGTAGTGTAGAATTGTATAACAAACTGTGCGAAGAAGCCAGAGACTGGATGCTGGAAAAAATGATGCAGCTGGAAAGTGACGTTTTAGGGCACGATTTGAAGACTGTCCAAGCGTTGCAACGCCGACATGACAATTTGGAAAGAGAATTGGCTCCTGTTGAAGAAAAGGTCAATAAAGTCACTCTGTTAGCCAACGACGTTCAAGCGCAATATCCTTCAGAAAGGCACAACGTGTCTCAAAAGCAAAGAGAAATTGACGCTCTTTGGGCTAAAGTTAAAGAAAAAGCTGTGGATCGAAGAGCTCGATTAGAAGATGCAGTCGGCCAGCAAATATTTACAAATGGAGCCAAAGAACTACTCAAATGGATTGCCGACGTTAAGGACAGACTAAACGCTGACAATTTAGTCAAAGATGTGCAAACGGCACAGACACTTTTGAAAAACCATCAAGATTTGAGGGCGGAAATCAAAACGAAAGACGACGAGTTCAAACAGCTCATGGAGTTGGGTCTACAGCTACTCAAAACAAATCCAGAACTACACCAAGTCAAAGACTTCATTGACCGCTTGGAAGCGGAACAAGCGGCAATTTCACGAGGATGGCATGAAAAAGAACATTGGTTGCAACAGTGTCTCAGACTACAAGAATTTAATAAGGAAGCTGACAATATTGACGCTGTCACTTCAGCACATTTGGCATTCCTTGAATTTTCTGATCTTGGAGTAAGTGATTTTTTTTTTAGAATTATATTTGTTTATATATTATTTGTAGAACTCCCTGGACGAAGTCGAGGCCTTACAAAAGCAACATAGAGCTTTTGCCAATACCCTTTCTGCCCAGGATGAACGGCTTGCTGCTTTTGTAAAACGCGCCGATGCCTTGATTGCAGAACAACATTATGACAGTCAAGGGTAAGATACAATTATTTGCATTCAGAGATCAAGAAACATTATTCAATTTCAATTCAATTTTTGATGCACTATGGTTACTATGTATGCGCCTCATATACATTTATAATTTTATATAATATTCGAGTGTTCGTTTACAACTAGTCATGAAACACTTTAAAAGGGGTGGTGTGAATTCTGCTGAATAAAATGATTGAAGGTAAAACCTTATTATAATGATGTAATAGTGATGTATTCATCGGGAGGTCCATTCCCTACGAGTTTATTATTTACTTTATCGTTTCTAAGACTAACTAAGATGAGGAAATGGTCTGTCAGGTTGTTCATCAGTACGGCTGATTTTAGATTATTTAGGATTTCATTATGGCATTTTATAAAACAAGGGGCAAACCACCTAGGAATTCTTTGCCAAAAATGTGGGGAGTTTAGAAAAATTTGTAGGAAATTTAGAGGAATTTGTGAGGAATTTGAAGGAACTCCTTCGAATTTATGAGAATTTGGGGAATTTATAGGGAATTTGGAGGAATTTATGAGGAATTTATGAGGAATTTAAAGGAAATTGTCAAATTTAAAAAATTCAAAAGAATAATGAATACAGTTTTTGTAGGCTGATTTTCAAGATTTTTCATGTTGTTATTTTCCACTGATAAAAATTGAAATTTTGGGAAAATGAGCTTCTTACCTTCCTCTCTACATGCAAAAAGTTTCAAAATTTTTCCTTCACTAGTTTTCCAGGAAAACTTTGAAATGTGTGAGACTCTATTTTCAACTAATTCAGTTTATGTAGGTTGAATTCCAAGATTTTTCATGTTGTTATTTTTCACTGCAAAAATTTGAAACTTTGGGAAAATGAGCTTCTCACCTTCCTCTTTACATGCAAAAAGTTTCAAAATTTTCCCTTCACTAGTTTCCCAGGAAAACTTTGAAATATGTGAGACTGTATTTTCAATTAATTCAATTATTGTTGGTTGATTTTCAAAATTTTTCATGTTGCTGTTTTCCACTGGAAAAATTTGAAATTTTGGGAAAATGAGCTTCTTACCTTTTTTACATGCAAAAAGTTCCAAAATTTGCCCTCTACTAGTTTTCCAGGAAAACTGTGAAATGTGTGAGACTGTATTTTCAACTAATTCAATTTTTGTAGGTTGAATTCCAAGATTTTTCATGTTGTTATTTTTCACTGGAAAAATTTGAAACTTTGGGAAAATGAGCTTCTCACCTTCCTCTTTACATGTAAAAAGTTTCAAAATTTTCCCTTCACTTGTTTTCCAGGAAAACTTTGAAATATGTGAGACTGTATTTTCAATCAATTCAGTTAGTGTAGGTTGATTTTCAAGATTTTTCATGTTGCTGTTTTCCACTGGAAAAATTTGAAATTTTGGGAAAATGAGCTTCTCACCTTCCTCTTTACCTACAAAAAGTTTCAAAATTTTCCCTTTTTTTAGAGGAATTTGTGGGGTATTTGGAGAAGTTCGTGGTGTGGTATTTGGAGGAATTTGTGATAGGATATCTGGAGGAATTTCGAGGAATTTGTAGGAATTTTGAGGAATTATGCGTAAAAAATTCCCCTTTGAGGAATTGTTTGCATCAATTCTGGGATGGTGGTTTACCCCTTGTTATAAAACAGTGATCAATACAGGAAGCACTAGTTCCAGATACTCTAGTAGGTTTGTTGATAAGACTGATAAACCCAAGACCATACAGTAAAGTCAAATAATCATTTGCATTGGGCGAATTTGATTCCAGAATATTTATGTTAACATCCCCTACAAACACAGAAACACATAGGAACGATTTTGGTCTATGATGACCATTTCACTCAGTATATCAACAGTACTGGCTAAGAAGACGTTTTTATCAATTACCTATAAGTAGCCAAAATATCAATCCTCCTATGATTTTTTTGAACAGATAGACCCCAATAACCCTGACTGGCTCCTTTACTATAACAAAATGTTCAATATAGACCTTATTTTTAACAAATACAATGCATCCATCACACTTATTAAGATCACTGCCATTCCAGAACAATTTGAACCCTGGTATGTTGAATAGTGGAAAATCATTAGCCCTATGAGTTTCGTACATTACAATAACATCAAATTCCGTTTTTATACATATATAGTAGCTTCTAGAAATACAAGAAATTCTAATATTTAAGTGTATGATATTAGGTTATGTCTGTAACCAATGATTTATTTGCTTCATAGAATTGCGACAAGACGTGATCAGGTCCTCGAAAGACGTCAAGCCGTGAAAGCGGCCAGTCAGCAACGCGCCAACGCGCTGGACGCCTCCAAAAACTATCAAGAATTCTGCGCCGAAGCCCACGATCTTCAAGTTTGGCTGGCGGAAAAACAAAAAACCGCGTCCGACGAAAGCTATCGCGACCTCAACAATTTGGAAAGAAAACTGCAAAAGCACGAAGCGTTCGAACGAGAACTGAGAGCCAATGAAGGTCAGTTGAGAAGCGTCACTAAACTGGGCTCTTCCCTAATGGCTCAAGGTAGTTACCAAAAAGACGAAGTGGCTTTGATATTGCAGCAACTTAATGATTCCTGGAAAAATTTGGTTGGTGTTTCATTGGAAAAGGGCAAGCGTTTACGTCAAGCGGAAGCTCAAGAAAACTACAACAGCGCTGTGGACGATGTCAAATGTAAACTTGATGAAATTGATGGGGCTTTGAGGAGTTCAAATGTTGGAGTTGATCTTCGGTCTTGCCGGGATCTGTTGAAAAAACATGAGGCCCTGGAAATTGAGCTACATCAAGTAGAAAATAGAGTCAAAGATTTAGTTGTTCAAAGCCACGATATGAGCGACGAAGGCCATTTTGATTCAGAAACGATTCGCCAAAACGCCTTGGTAAGTCACGAAAGACTTAAACAATTGGAGACACCTGCAAAGGCACGACATGCAGCTTTAGAAGAAGCTTTAAGATTTTACAAATTCGGTTTTGAAATCGACTCAGAAATACAGTGGATCAACGAACACATGCCTCTGGCGACTTCAGAAGAGGTCGGCAATAGTTTACATCAAGCACAAAATTTCCACAAAAAAAATAAAAAGTTGCAAGCAGAAATTGTTGGCCATCAAGCTGTGATCGATAAGGTTTTGAATAATGGACAAGCTTTGATTGATCAAAAACATCCTGAAAGAGCAAATGTAAGAATTTTATCCATTTATATTTGACATTTTGATTATCAAAATATCCTTTAGATTAAACAACTCTGTGACAAATTGCGAACAACGTGGGCGGAATTGGAAGGGAACGCCAATAAAAGAGGCAGCAAACTGGATCTTTCCCTTAAAGCCCAACAATATTTCTTTGAAGCTAGCGAAGTGGAATCGTGGCTGAACGAAAAAGCTAATATTTTGGATAGCAGTGATTATGGAAGAGATAGAGATTCTGCTACAAAACTTTTGACAAAACACAAAGTAAATATGATCAAAATGTCATATGTATTTAGTTGAATTTTCCAACAATATATATACTTTTTTTTAGGCTCTGGAACTAGAACTAGATACCTACAATAATATAATCTCAGAAATGGGTCATGGTGCTCAAGCTATGGTCAAATCAGGACATCCTGATTCAAAATTAATTTCTGAAAGACAAGCCAGCCTGGAACGTTTAGTCAGATCTTTGCAAAGGAAGGCGGCTATTAGACAAAACAGGCTCATGGAGTCCTTGTTTGGCCACGAGTATTTTGTGGAATCTGGCGAACTGGAAAGCTGGATAGCTGAAAATCTTCAGCATGCCTCTTCAGAAGACTACGGTCAAGATTATGAACATTTATTGGTAAATATTTGACTTGATTTTTTTTGACGTACTTTTTTTTTTTTTTTTTTGAAAACTGTATATTACCAACAATATTACAATATCATTAATGTTCCAACATTTTTTCTCAAATCAGTGTTAGAAACACTGGTCTCAAGAAAACAATAATAAAAATATATATAACAATGATTAAGTAGGCCTTAATTACTAATTAATAATTTGCTAAATTGCTAAGAAGTTGACACGTACCTACACCGAGATACAAAGTCAAAAATCCATACTCAAGTAAGTAGATTATAGGAAATCTAGTTGTTTAAATGAAGCAATAACAATTTTTTAAATAAATTGAAGTTTTCATCTTGTTTAACAATAAGTGGTAAATTATTATATGCTCGCGATGAAGCATTGAGTGGACAGTTCAAACCTACATTTATTCTGGAATTGGGTATACAGGGTGGAATTTTTAAATGGAATAAAATTAGTATCGGAGAGCCTGTTTATTTTCTGGAAAAAAAAACGGGTCCCTTTATTTTTAGTTTGGCACATTTTTTCGGCCTTTCCATGGAATTTACCCCTCTCCTAAGGGTAGAAACCACCCCCAACTTTTTTTTTTCAAATGTAAAGATATGTATTGTGATAGCTCGTTGAAATGGGCATAAAAAAAGGAATATGTTTAGGTAAAACTGTATATTTAAATCATGAAATTACAACATGAGTTGACTGACTAACTGACTAACTCGTCATCAGGTGGTGTCTTTGTTAAACTACTCATAACAGTGCCCTAGTTTGCACATGAAAAGACTGCCCTCGATTGCAAAAGCTCCTTTTTCCCTTTGGTTCCCTAGTTTGTACCCCAAAACGTGTTAAGCAGATACAGAAAGTCAATCTCCTCGTGAAGACGCTTGTTAGTAAATAAAAATGAGCTTCACTACAAAACCACCAGCCCCCTCACTGAAAACAATTTTAAGTGTTGGAAACTCTATAAACAAAAGTTTGAAATTTTTTTGAAACCCTCTGGAAAAAATAATGAACCAGAAGATATTAAAATTGCTATTTTGCTAAGTGATATTGGGGATTATGGTCTGGATTTATTTAATACGTTTACAACTGACCAGCAAAGCACTTTTAATAAACTATTGGAGGCCTATGATACTAACTTTCAGCCAAAATGTTGCATCCCTATGGAAGCATTTAGGTTCAATAACTTGCATCAAAAAGAGAATCAAACCATTGAAAGTTTTGTAAATGAGCTGAGAAATCTGGCAAAAAGTTGCGATTTTCTATGCAAAAATCAAAATTGCAACGAACCTTACTCAGAACGAATGGTGAGAGACAGATTGGTTGTTGGCCTATGTGATAAACAATTACAAGCCAGATTGATCCGGGAGCCAGACCTAAACACTGAAAAGATCCTGGACTATTGCAAGTCACTGGCTCTCAGCAAGGAACACCTTAAAACGCTTAGCCCTGAGGAAGAAGTTAATTTAATAAAAAAAAATTTAAAAAAAATTAAATGCGCTAAATGTCTCTATGAACATTTTCCAAACCAATGTCCAGCATTTCGTAAGACCTGTGCTGCATGCCAGGAAATTGGCCATTTTGCAAAAGCATGCAAAGCTTTGAAAGGTAAAGAAGATCCTCACAATTTTGTTGAAAAAAAGTGGTTATACAATGAAGAAAAAGCTCGAGAAAAAGGTACGAGAAGTCAAATATGAAGAAGCATCTGACTCTGATGGCGAGGATATCCAAGATGACGTGTTATTGATAAATGAATGCTGTACTAAAAATGGAAAACGAGCATGGTCTGAGGTATTTTGTGTCGAAGATACAGAGGTAAAATTTAAACTTGACACAGGAGCGGACTGTAGTATTTTACCTATTAACACCTATTTAAAAATCTCTTGTTCTGAACCAATGACACAGACAAATGTTACCCTATTGTCTTACGGTAATTTTAGGTTAAAACCTGTAGGTCTTATTACTTTAAAATGTTACTACAAGAATATGTGTCATGATGTTAAGTTTGTAATAGTAGATTCTAATACTCAACCTCTTCTTGGTCTCGAAGATTGTCTCAAGTTTGGCTTATTTTCCCGAATTAATAGAGTTGGAATTTTACCAAAAACCAGAGAGCAAATTTATAAGTCATTTCAGAAAGTTTTTGAAGGTACAGGAAAAATTCCTGGGCTCTGCTCTATTAAGCTGACAGAAAATGCAAAACCTGTTATACAAGCCCAGCGTAAAATACCATTTTCATTGCACAAAAAATTAAAAGAAACTTTAGATACTCTTCAAAGCAAGAATATAATTCAAAAAGTTGAATATCCGACCCAATGGGTAAATAGTCTTCTATTAGTTGAAAAGCCAGATAAATCTTTAAGGTTGTGCATTGATCCGAAACCATTAAACAAATTTATTTGTAGGGAACATTTTGTTATACCGACAACTAACGATATTATTTGCAGGTTGACAGGTAAATCAGTCTTTAGTGTTATTGACATGAAAGATGGATTTTGGCAGTTGCAACTGGATGGTAAAAGTGCAGATCTTTGCGTTTTTAACACGCCTTTTGGAAGGTATCGCTTTAACCGGGTCCCTTTTGGAATTTCAAGTGCTCCAGAAATATTCCAACGTAAAAATTTTGAAATCTTTGGTGATATTCCTGGAGTAGAAATATATTTTGATGACCTTATTATTTCAGGGGTTGATGAGGCAAGTCATGATAAAACCCTTAAAGAGGTTCTTCATAGAGCACTCAAAAATAATGTAAAGTTTAATTTTAAAAAATTTCAGTATAAACTGGACAAGGTTAAGTTTTTGGGACAAGAAATTTCAAAGGACAGTGTGAAGCCAGATTAACATTAAAGCTATTGAAGCCATCGATTCACCTATAAATAAATCGGAAGTTTTGAGAATTTTAGGGCTTTTAAAATTTTTTGCTAGGTTTATACCAAATCTTTCCCAACTAACTACAAATATGCGCAATTTGACAAAAAATAATGTGGCATTTGAATGGACAGAGGCACATGAAAAAAAACTTCAAAATCTAAAATATATCATATCCCAAGAACCGGTTCTCAAAATTTTTGATCCAAATATTCCAATACGTATCCAATGTGATGCGTCCAGTGAAGCATTTGGTTGTTGTTTACTTCAAAATGATCACCCAATTGTTTACGCGTCGAGATGCCTTACAAAATCCATAAGAAAATGGGCTCAAATAGAAAAAGAACTGGGGTCAATTGTGTTTGCTTGTGAAAAGCTGCATTATTTTATCTATGGATTTCAAATCGAAATTCAGACAGATCACAAGCCCCTAATTTCATTCTACAATAAGGATATAGAGAAAGTATCTGCGAGACTCCAACGAATGCTGTTGAAATTGCTCAAGTATAATATAAAAATTACATATTTACCTGGCAGAGATATGGTTATCGCAGACACTTTGTCTAGGGCATATATTAAAGATGACGTACAAGATGACCCTGAAATGGCTTATATTGTGCACACTTTGTCCAATGACATTTCTATGTCCGAAGAAAAAAAGCATATCTTTAGAAAGAAAATCGAGTTAGATCCTATCTTATCAAAAGTGAAGCAATATTGTCAAATTTTTTGGCCTAAAAAAGACAAAAATTTACCCTTAGAAATGAAACTGTACTTTAAAATTAAGAACAATATTTATTTATCAAATAATTTGCTATTTTTTGTCGCTTAAGTCTGACATGCTTCAACAAATTCATAAGACACATTTTGGCATTTCAAAATCCAAATTGAGAGCGCGTCAACTCCTTTATTGGCCAGGCAGATCTAAAGATATTGAAGATTATGTTCAAAATTGTGAAACATGTCAGTTAAATCAGAAGTCCCAACAAAAGGAGACGTTAATTCCACATGATCCACCTTCCAGACCATGGCAGTTTGTTCATTCCGATTTTTTTGAATTCAAGGGGAAAAACTATCTTGTATTGGTTGACGCCTTTTCTAATTGGATTGAAGTAACCCCTACAAAAACAAAAACTGCTCGGGAATTAATACAAGTTTGCAAATATAAATTTCGACAGTTCGGAATACCTGAAAATTTTTTTGAGGATAATAATCCATATAATTCCTTCGAATTTAAGTCATTTGCAAAAGAATGGAATTTTGAGTTAGGCTTTAGCAGTCCTAATTACCATCAATCCAATGGGCTGTCGGAAAGATATGTGGGTATTGTTAAAAGTATGCTCCAAAAGTACGAAAAAGAGTATGACCTGCCTCTTCTGGTACTGGAATACAACAATACTCCAATTCCTTCTTTAAAAAATTATTCTCCAAGTCAAATATTTTTAAATCGAACCACAAAAACCCAGATTTCAGTTTCTGCAAAAGCATTAAAACCCATCTTGATTGACAGTGATGAAATAAAAGAATTAATATTAAAGAAACAAGAAAGTGAAAAATGTTTTTATGATAAAAATGCAAAAGATTTACCTGGTTTATTTGTCGATGAGACGATTTTAATTCAGCTGGAAAATGGATGGAAGAAAGGAAAAGTAATAGAGAAGGTTAACGATAGATCCTATATTGTAATGGACGAATACGGAAAAAGATACAGAAGGAACCGAAGGTATTTAAGACAAACAAAACTTAACTTTGAATGCAAGGAAAATAATTTCAATTTATTGTATGACTTTGGATATAATTTTGGTATCAACCAGTCTCAGCCGCCTTCTGTTTCTTCTGTCCAACCGCCCTCAACTGCTGCTGTTCAACCGCCTTCTACTTCGCCTTTCGTTAGTCAAACTTCTGAACAGCATCCAGATACATTTGAATTAAATAACTCTTCAGCTATCCTTGAGAGAAGTGAGGATGGTGAAGATATGACAAAGAGAGTTCCTAAACGGCCTTCATGGCAGAAAGATTATGTTGTAGTTTGTTTTAGTTTTTAGGATTTTCTATTATTGACATTAACGTAATTTTTATATTTTGGATCCGTTTTTTTTATTTATTTTTTAAGGGAGAGCATGTTATGAGTAGTTTAACAAAGACACCACCTGATGACGAGTTAGTTAGTCAGTCAGTCAGTCAGTTAATCAGTCAACTCATGTTGTAAGTTCATGATTTAAATATACAGTTTTACCTAATTATTTATTGCATTACTTATTCCGAACCCATATACAACACTAGGTATTTAATAGATGTCACTCTTTCTAAATGTATGGTGCTAATTTTAATATTTATATTGTTCGATATTTTATTTTTTTGTGTAAAAATTACAAATTTTGTTTTTTCAACATTTATTTTCAACTTGTTGGCATACAACCACATAAGGTACCTATCGAGGTCTCTGTTTATGTCCTCCTCCAGATGCTCTTCATTCGAGCCTGTATAAATTAGAGCAGTGTCATCTGCAAAAATAAAATATCTTGCTTGCAGATTCATGAGTTTCAGATTTAGGACATATAAAGTATATAGCAGTGGCCCCAGCACTGACCCCTGGGGTACACCATAATTATTTGATAGAACATCGCTGTCGCAATCCTTGATTTTTACAAACTGTTTCCTATCCACTAAATATGTTTTTATAAGGTTTAAAAAATTTCCCTGAATACCTAATTTGTTTAATTTACCTAAAAGTACATCAATTGATACTACATCAAATGCTTTTTTGAGATCTATAAACACTTATTATAGTATTGCGCATAAATTTTTTTTCAGCTTTTGAAAAACAAATTCGACGATCTGAAGCATAAAATCGAAGGTGGCTCAGACAGATACAAACAATGTGAATCTTTAGCTCAGAAACTTTTGGCCAACGAAAGTCCCTACAGTTCAGAAATCCAAACAATACAGGCTCAACTAGAGTGAGTACATTGATTTTTGCATCCAAACTTATGCTCTTATTATGAAAATGTTCTCTCTCCTAGACAATCCTGGAACAATCTCCACGAGCAAGTAAAAAAACGTGAAGAGCGTCTGAACGCTGCCGGAGAAATTCATCGTTTTCATCGCGATGTGGCTGAAGCATTGCAGCGGATCCACGCTAAAAACGCCGCGCTCGGTACAGATCTTGGTCGCGACCTCAACTCTGCGCTCACTCTGTATAGAAAGCACGAAGCTTTCGAAAATGAACTAGTCGTTTTAGAGGCGCAGCTGCAAGTGCTCGTCCTGGACGCCTCCAAGCTGCAACAAGTATATCCGACAAATAAAAATAAAATCCAGCAACAGCAAGCGTTGGTAGTGGAAGCGTGGAATGGGTTGAAAGAACGCGCCGATTTGCGGAAAGATCAACTTCAAGCGAGTATCGATCTTCAAAAATTCTTGGCACAAGTCAGAGATTTGACCAATTGGGCAACTAATCTACGGTTATCGATGAATGCTGAGGAACATGTCAGAAGTGCTGCTAGGGCTCAACTACTAAAAAGTGAGCACGAAGCTCTGAAAGGCGAAATAGAAGCTAGAGAAGTCGATTTTCAAGCTACCGCTGATAATCTAGCAGCTATGGAACAAACTGGTCACTATGCGGCAACTGAAGCTGTAGAAAGATACAAAAATTTGATTAAGGAGCGTGAAAACTTACACACCGCTTGGCAGTTGAAAAAAATCCATTTGGATCAATTAAGCGACTTGCATATATTCCTTAGAGAAGCCAAGTTGCTCGAAGATGCCACTAACACGCAAGAAGCAGCTTTGAGTAAATCTGATTTTGGAGAAACTGTTGAGGAAGTTGCCAATCAATTAAAAAAACACGAAGCTTTTGAAAAACTTGTTACACATCAAGATAAAAATTTGGAAGCCCTTATGCAATCAGGCAACAAGCTACTCAACCAAGATCATTACGAAAGCAAGCAAATTGCCCAAGTATTATCCGAAATTCAAACGAAAAGACATCGCGTGCATCAACTATGTGCTCAAAGAAAGTCCCTGCTCCTCGATGCCCTGCTTTACGCAGAATTCATTAGAGACGTTTCTGAAGCAATGAATTGGATTGCGGAAAAACAAAAAAAAATGGATGTAGAAGGAAAAATGAGCGATAACATGAACATCGCAGAAAAAATCAAAATACTACAAAAACACCAAGCGTTCCACGCGGAAGTTTCCGCCAACATTGGTAGAATCGAAGAAGTACAAGGCAACGGCGAAAAATTGATTGCCAAAAGGCACAAAGCCAGTCCAGAAATTCAAAAACAACTTAACGAACTACAAATAGTTTGGGCCCATTTCATGCAAGAAGTTAACCATAGAAATAGAGGCCTCGAAGAAGCCCAAGACATTCTTAATTTCACCAATATGCTTGAAAAATTAGAAGCTTGGATTAGAGACAAAGAAGTAATGATTCAAGCAGGAGATACAGGAAGGGACTATGAACATTGTCAGCTTCTACAAAGAAAATTAGATGATGTCGATAGCGATATGAGAGTCGACGATGCTAAAATAAAAAATATCAGCTCTCTGGCTGATAAGTTAGCACGTCAAGGTCAAATGGGAGTAGTCGAAAGACGAAACGCATTCATAGCCAAATGGCATTCTCTTCAAGGAGCTTTGGACGATTATAGAGCCAAATTAGCAGCTGCTTTGGAAATTCACTTATTCGACCGGGACGTCGCCGATACTATTGAACGTTTACAAGAAAAATCCAAAGCGATGGATGTGGATGATATTGGAAAAAATCTTTCAGCCGTAGAAGCTTTACAGAGAAAACAAGACGCTTTAGAAATAGAGGTTACTGCTGTCCAGAAGAAGATACATGACGATCATCAAGTAGTTGCTTTGGATTTAAGTCAAAAGCATTCTCACAGTGCCAGTCATTTGGAAGACAAACTTCAAATTTTAGAAAGTTTACTTGTAACATTACACGCAGTAAAGCAAAAACGTAGAGAACAATTAGCGATAGCTTATTTCCAAGAGAAATTCAAAGCCGATGTTAAAGATTTAGACGTTTGGGTAACTGAAACCATCAAAAGGATGGAAGCTTATGATAAGCCTAACAGTGTAAGTGATGCAGAAGCCCATCTAGAACTACATAATGAATTAAGAGCGGAAATTAACGGACGTCATGAAGCTTTCAAAACTTTGATAGAAACGGGAAAAGATTCGCCACAAAAAAACAATCCTATAATTGTTGATAATATTGCCAAATTAAAGCAGTTGCAAGAGAACATTGAAAGTTCTTGGGAACAAACCAAACACGAACTGGAACACGAATACGATATACAGATATTCAAAGAGCAAGCTAATCAATTGAATAATTGGTTTGCTACTAAAGAAGCCTTCTTGAATAATGATGATGTAGGTGATACTCCGAGAAGTGTTGAAATCTTACTAAGAAAACATGCTGATTTTGAAGTGATGCTGGAAAAACAATTAGTAAGAGTTGAAGAAATAACTGCTGCAGCTCAGAAAATATTAATCGTCAAACCAAGCTCTGAGGTAAAGGACAAATTAAATACAATAATTAGCCGAAAAAATCGCTTATTAAGTAAAACCAGCGAAAGAAAAGAAACATTAAGCAAATCGAAATCATTGCAGCAATTTTTGCACAATGTCAGCGACGTCGAAATCTGGCTGAACCAAAAACTGACTGTGGCTGGTGATGAAAGTTACAGAGACCCCAGCAACCTACAGAACAAAATTCAAAAACACGCGACATTCGAAGCTGAAGTAATGGCTAGCGGAGAACGTATTCAAATTGTTGTCGAAGAAGGTAAAGAACTAATAACTTCCAATCATTATGCCGCTACTGAAATAGCTATACGATTAGATGAATTAGAAAATGATTGGAAACATCTACAAGAGTTGTCTAATCTCAAACGTGACAGGCTAAATGAAGCCTATCAGGCATTGCTATTTAATAGATCGTTGGAGGAATTCGACGGTTGGCTCAATGAAGTCGAAGTGCAAGTAAATTCAGTCGAAACGGGCAAAGATTTGGCATCTGTTAACAATTTTCTCAAACGTCATATTGCTTTGGAACAGGACATTCAACAGCATTCTGAAAATTGCGATCAAATTCACGAAGCCTCAGAGCAATTCGTAAAAAGTGGTCACTTTATGGCTGATGAAATTAAAGAAAATGCGGAAGCTGTTATTACAAGATATCATCATTTGAAAGAACCTCTTCAAGTCCGTCGAGACCTTCTAGAATCCTCAAGTATGCTTCTTCAATTTACTAGAGACGTAGAGGATGAAGTTCAGTGGCTCACCGAAAAAGAAAGATTATGTTCTTCTCCTGATTTAGGGCTCAATTTGGCCGCAGTACAAAGTTTGCACAAAAAACATCAGGTGATAGAAGCAGAATTAGCAGCTAGAGAGCCTATTGTCGCCAATTTGGTCAGCAGAGCGACAAATTTAACGCGATCCAATCATCCTTTGTCGCACATTATTAAGGAGAAAGCCGGTCAAGTCAAATTACAGTTGGCACAAGTAAGGGATTTAGCTAGTATTAGAAAACTGAGGCTGCAAGACGCTCTTGAGGCGCACTTGGTAAGTATGTTTTTTTTTATGAAAAATATTTCTACTAATGAATATTGTAGTTCTATCAAGAAGTCATAGAAGCTCTTACATGGATAAAAGAAAAGCGGCCTTTCTTGGCTTCTAGAGAGGTGGGTAAGGATGAGGATACTGCTCAGTCTTTGCAAAGAAAACTGGAAGTCTTGTCGCTAGAAATAAAAGCGTTCAAATCCAATATCGATAAACTCGGTAAGACTGCCGATCACCTTATTGAGAGAGAACATTTTGATTCTGAGACTATTGCTCAAAAAAAGGTAAGTTGTTTTCTCTCTAACCCCTCTCTGGTTTATAAAAAATACTTGTTTGTGTTCTAGATTCAACTTGAAAGTGAGTTTAATGATCTAAGAAAGTTAGTATCTGAACGAGAAGTGCGGTTAAGCGAAGCTTTACAATATTTCGGTTTCATTCACGAATGCACTGACGTCAAAGACTGGATGCGAGACCAAACAAATAAAGCCGACTCCGAGGAGTACGGCAACGACTTGGAACACGTCGAACTGTTGATTCAGGCGTTCGACACTTTCCACGCCAGTTTGTTAAACAGCGAACCTAGATTAGTCCAGTGCATAGAAAACGGAAACGCAATTATCAATGCAAAGAGCAGCTACAGTTCGGAAGTGCAACAAAAAGTTAGCGAGTTGAAAGGCAGCTGGGATGATTTGATCGAACTTGCTAATGCAAGAAAAGAGGCTTTGAATGGTGCTAAACAGGTGCATTTGTTCGATAGAACCGCAGAAGAAATTATATCCTGGATTCAAGAGAAAGAGTCTGACCTTATTTATGGGGCTTACGTTCAAGACTCTGAGGCGATCGAAAAATTAATGAGGAAACACCAAGCCTTGGAAAGTGAAATGAAAGCGATAAGAGATAAAGTTGATTATATCGTTCAAGAAGGCAATAGATTAATAAACGAATTCCCTGACACCAAGGATCACATTGACGATAAAAAAGAGGACACTTTTTCTGCTTGGGAAGATTTACAACTTAAAGTTGAACGCGAACGAGAATTCCTTTTGCAAAGCGAACAGTTGCAATCATACTTTGACGAGTACCAAGAATTATTGGCCTGGATCAATGAAATGCTAGCTAAAATCACTGCACCAGATTTACCGCAAGATTGTTCGGAAGCCGAACTTCTTATAGTGAGGCACAAAGATTATAAAACAGAAATCGACAGTCGGATGCGGGTGTTTTCACAATTTTACGACAACGGAAACGCATTCATAGAGAAAAATCATCCTTTAGCGCACGATATTGAAGATAAAATTACGGTTTTGCAACAAAGGATTGAACTTTTAATTAATATTTGGAGCCAAAGAAATATTATTTACGAAACCAATTTGGATGTGCAACTTTTCAAAAGGGAAGCCAATACTTTGGAAAGCTGGATGGTGCTTAGGGAGGATCTTTTGAGAGATGGAAAAGTTGGCGATAGCATATCACAGGTAAACTGATTTTTGTTTAAGTTTTTTTTTAAATTAATTATGAATTTAGGTGGAAGATCTAATCAAAAAACATCGAGACTTTGAAGAAACAGTAAAATCCCAAGAAGACAAATTCGAAGCTCTTAAACGAATGACTTTATTAGAAGAGGCGTTCACGCAACAACTCAAACAGGAGCAACTGGCACGCCAAGCGGAAAAAGAAAGATTAGAGCAAGAAAAATTGGAGAAACGTAAACGACAGGAAATGGACCGGATAACTCAGTTAAGAAGACAAGAATCTGGAGATAGGGAGCCACGTTATTCTGAAATACCTGGTAATAATTGAAAATGTATTAAAAATATTGTCTATTGTTAATTTTTTTAGAAGAACGTCCATCGGCTAATGGAACCAGTCATTTTGGACCGGCACCATTGGTAATGCCCAATACGTCGTACCAGAATAGTAACTCCCCCCTGACACCGCCGATTCGAGTGGTTTCACCCCCACCCGTACCAGGTAGATATTTTTCTTTAAAAAAGCTAGTTTAAGGTGTATGATGATTTCAACTACTTACATATAATACATTTTTCAGGTGCTCCAATAGTTAATCTAAGAAAAACCAACTCGGTCGCTCAAATGTTTGATAGAGAACGTATCAGGCGTGGTTCCGATCATGGTGTGAAAAGGGCAGAAAGTATGAAAGTAGGACCTGGTTCTAAGCCTGTGAAGAGGACACCTTCGTTCACTACCAGGAGAAAGGGTTCATTTAAATCAAAACACACTGGTAAGATTGATATTTTCCAACAACAAAAAAAAAATCCAATTAAATAAATAATTTTTTTTAGATGTTGTATTACCTCCAGTAGAAGCCGAAGCATTCCTTGAAAGGAAACAAATTCTTTTGCCTGGATCTAAACGGGCATCAAACCGTGCGTGGAAAAATTCCTACACTGTGCTTTGTGGTCAACTTTTGTGCTTCTTCAAAAACAAAGACGATTTTGCTGCTAGTAAAGCCAGTGGGGCGCCATTGAATATTCACAACGCGGCCTGTTCGGTTGCCGAAGATTATCACAAAAGGAAATACACCTTTAGATTGATAATAGTAGACGGTTCCGAATTTTTGTTTTCCTGCGTGTCCGAGGTTGACATGATGGATTGGGTGAATAAGATTAAATTTAGGGCGAGATTACCACCTAGTCAGCAACTTTTGCATTTTGATGTTCCAAAGGTAAAAATTTCCATATAGTGATAATGATGTCAGTTTAATATTGCAATTATTTTCAGGAACCCAATGACGAAATAAGTTCACAATCAAGCCGCACATCTAGTCCAGACGTTGCCGATTCTGTGGTTTTAAGAAACGAAACCCATTCAAACAATGGCAGCGTTGGCTCCTCACAATCTAGCAGACATACTTTAGGTAAGTTTTATTATAAATAAAATCCTAGGGGAATTATTTTAAATGTTACTTCTTGTAACTAACTTATTTCAACATCACATTAAATTTTGGCAGAAAGTCCACCTCCTCCACCACCGAGAACAGAACCACCATTAAATTATACCACTAAACGGTATACCTATGAGAACAGTGGAAGTTCATATGGTTAGTTTTTAAACTTCTTCGACTAACCTGCACGATTTGTTTTTCGCATGGGCTGATTATTCTCATATTTTGCTACTAATATTTGCATGCAATATTATTATGATTATTGTTTCATGTTTCATCATCATTTTTCTTATAATTATTTACAGACAGTTACGGAAGTGGTTCTCGAGCAGACTCTCAAAGTTCACCGCCTAGACCAAATTCAACAAGCGGCGATCAGAAAATGTCACACCGTATTCGTGAACTGTTTGGCAGGAAAAAGCGAAATTCACATATGTAATTAGGGTTAGACATAATATTATAAGTTTTGATTGAATAGTAGAGTATCTACTTAAATTATTTAAAGAAATAAGTATTAAGGATGCCTTTTTGCAACTGTTGCAATCTTATCTGTTTATACATATAAATAATGTAGTTATTTTTTTTTTGTATATAAAGAATTTAATGTCGTGTTGAAGATACCAAATCAAATTTTATAGATTATTCTATACAATATTTTTATTTTTTGAAATAAAATGAAATCAGTTTACCATTAATGCTATGTATTTTGTTTTCAGATCTGAGTTGCGATTCATTTTAGCTCTGTTCCTGCAGAACTCACTAACCAATCAGAGCGAATTTCATTGGTTGAAAACAGTCAGAAAACTAGTTTTAACCAATGAAATTGACTCTCACTGGTTTGTGATTTCTGCAGAAACAGACCCTTTAACAATAGGTTTGTTGGAGCTAGGAGATAGGAATTCAGAACTGTTCAAATAATGACATTGATAGGTCTGTTCGCACAGATTGAATTTTGAATTTCATTGGTTGTAACCTTAGTTAAAACTAGTTTTCTGACTGTTTTCAACCAATGAAATTTGCTCTGACTGGTTTGTGATTGCTGTGCGAACAAACCTATTATGGTGACCCCAAAATTTACAACAGGAACTGTAAACTATTTTATAAATATAAAAATTGAAATGTTGGAATAAGTATAGGTATTGGACATCCTTGCACCAGATCAACCATAGTAGTATTAGTGTATGAATTGAAAAAAATTAAAAGGAAATTATCGAATGAGCTTATAATCAGTACAGTGACTCTATTACCACAGTGGCGACAATTGCTGTCTTATTTTTGATTGGTTCTAAAATCCCATATATTTATATTGTAAACGCCGCCATCTTGTTCCCAGCCTCTTGTTACTTTTAAATATGAATATATGGGATTTAGGTGAACATTCATCATAAATCATGAACATCAACGTATTTAATGGACCTAATAATGGTCATCAAATACGTCGATTTCAATTTTTTATGATAGATGTCCATTTAAATCCTATATATTGATATTTAAAAGTAACAAGAGGTTGGGAACAAGATGGCCGCGAGACCTCTCTTGTCGCCACTGTGTGTAAAGGTTTATTAAGCCACTGTAATAATCAGGGCCGGTCCTAGCAGGTGTGCAGCGCGTGCCCCGAACGCGGGCGCCCAAATCTAGGGGCGGGCGCAGGCCGCCCATAGTTCTGTCATTCAAGATTCAAATGAAACTTTTCAGGAATTTCTCAAAATAAAACTACTTCTAATAAAGAAATGAGCTGAAGATTAAAAAACCCCTGGAAAATAGAAAGTTTAGTGCACAGTCAGTTTGATGGTTCCTGAAACTCTTTATACATCCCTCATTGGATGGCAAATTTTTGTATATTATCTCAATAAATACTTCTGCTTTGTTTTTTTAAAATGTTTATTTTTGTTCGTGATCTGCAAGAATAAATATTAACTGTCCAACAGCACTAGGTGAATAGTTCGCTAATAATTTAACCAACTTTTGTGGTTCCAAGTTCAGGTGGGTATGTTGTGTAGGTAAGTATTACGACTAGGGACTGGGATATCTTTGGTTTTTCCACTGGGCCCTTTTTTCTAATATCGGACCTAAGCCCAAACCCAGTTTTAAGATAATATCTGTCATCATTGATCACCACTCACACGCATTCAAACAACTCATAGAAAACAAATATGTTCCATACAAGTTTTTTTGGACTTGAAACGTCCAAAAACATTCATTTTGAGGCTCGAAATGCCCTGAAAATCTAGTCTATAGCTGAGAAAAGTGGACTGTATTTTGCGGTTTCAAAATTACGAGTACAATTGAGATCTTACCTAATCCAGTTTTCAGCGGCGAGTTGTGGAGTCACGTGTTAGCCGTTTTTTTACTTTTGAAACGAGAAATGCCTTTAAATTGCCTTGTTTCGTTTTGGGTGGGACCCGTCATTGTCAAATTTTTTGACATAAATGTCAATAAATGTGGTACCGTTGAAAAGAGAATTTGAAGAGCTTTCATTTAAGGGGTCAGTCGACCCACTTTCCCTATTTAATTTTTAGGGGTTGAACGCGCCCCCGCTAAGGGATGACAGGTTAGTCATTAAAGATGAATTTAAAAGTTGTCCCCTTTCATGCAAAAATCGACGTGTCCGAGTGTTTTTCATTTAAATAATTCTAAATATGTAAAAACTCCTCTGTTTCGTTTTAGCTGGGACACCCTGTATGAGGGCAATGCGTCAAGTATAGATATAAAGACCTCAAATATTCAAGAACGCGAAAATGTGAATCGTGGATTAAAAGTTTACTCCAAATTCAAATTATGTAGGTACTCCAATAAATAATTGGCAAAATAAACAAAACAAAAATAATTCAATGAAGGACAATCTTAGCAATTTAATATAATAACTTAAAACTATTGAGTGGACGAAACAGTTATGAATAAAAATAATGAGACGAAATTCTAGGGTCATAGACCTTTAAAAAGAGGTATGACACGACCCCTATCCCCGTGTCTGAGCGTTTTTCCAGATTTTCATTTCAAGTCCAAAAAATCGGGGTGGAAAGTTTTCATTGGCCCACCCTGTTTCTATCACGTAGTTAATTTTTTTTGCTCCTAACTTATTCATATTTATTACGTTATCTGTTTACCTTTTTTGTGGGGGTTTTTGTCGGACAAAGGATTAAAATTTATTCGGATTTAGTCGAGTACGAAATCCTCGGAGATAAGCACCGTCAGTTGCGTCCGAGAATTATCGATTTTTTTTTTTACACAAGCTTAGATTATTGTGTCGTGTGCCCATATAGTGTACCAATTGACTTCTGGATTTTGGTAAGTAGTACCGTAGTACCAACAATTATTTTTTGGTTTGGGATTTATTGAATCTTGAATAAACAACCCTTGATTTTTCTAATGTCTGAATTTCGAACAATCCAACTTATTTTTTTTAATTTTTTTTATTTAAATTGTAATTCATTTGATTCTCTATAACTATCGGCAATTAGTAGAATATACAGGGTGTCCAAAAATTAGTTTTCCAGTATCGATTTTCATCATTAATTTTCTTTTTTTGATTTGGCTTTCCAAAAGTGCATTAATGAAGAAAGTATAGATGAGCTTGTGTGAAGGATGAATGATCCACTGTTGTGAGATAGAATGCTGGGTTCTGGTTATGTAGTATGTAGGTATTGTTGGAATAGAACCCTGTATGCTGGATGTAGATACTGTTGTGATAAAATGCTGGAGTGTCCCAAAAAAATTGATTTTTGTCCACAATTTTGCTGTTTAAGCCACTTTAAATCCATATAGCTATTCTTTCACCGGAAATTATCCAAAGATGTTTTTGGGTCTTAAGTCTTAATTATTGTAAATTTCAATAAGCCACTACCACTAGCAACAACCCAACTAACCCAACACAACTTACCCATATTAACATCACCTTGGGGTAAATTGCTAGTGGAAGTCGACTAAACATTTTCAGCTAAAAATCTACAGGTGCATTAAACAATAATACTCTTTCATAAAGATAGTATAGCTATCCAGTTATGTAGCTGTATTTTTCAAACAGGCAATTTGAAAGTTTTCAATTTTTTTGAGACACTCATGAAGGTGTTGGGTGCACTTTTGGAAAGCCAGTCAATAACGTACATCAATAAGTGTTTTCAATATATTATAGGCCTTGGAACCTTTAACATAGAGTTGTCACAATGTTTTTCTACTGAATTTGACCTTATTTTTCTGGCTGGTGAAGTTAGAAATTTGAAAAACTCAAAGAAATAATTTTTGATGTAAGACCAAAGGTACTCTATAGAAATCTGACTCAAAGTTTCAACTTTGGAGGCTCATATCTTCAGAACCGTTTCAAATATTGGAATAAAATTTGTTTCATCTTGAAGAGCATCAAATTCTGATTCAGAATAGTTATTCTTACATTGAATTATATGGAATATTAAACTGAGTAATAGATGATTTTGTGAAATCATATCGAATAAATTAAATTTTTAGAGACCAATAAGTGTTTTCAATTTGTTTCAAGCCTTGAAACCTTTAACATAGAGTTGTCACAATATTTTTCTACCAAATATGACCTTATTTTCCCACTGGTGAAGTCAGAAATTTAAAAAACTCGAAAAAATATTTTTTGATATAGAATCAAAGGAGTATGGAAATCTGACTCAAAGTTTCAACTTTGGAAGTTCATATCTTCAGAACCGTTTCAAATATTGGAATGAAACGTGTTTCATCTTGAAGAGCATTAAACTCTGATTCAGAATAGTTATTTTTACATTGAAATATATAGAATATTAACAGAGTAATAGATGATTTTGTGAAGCCATGTCGAAAAAATGAAATTTTTAGAGACCATTTGCATGTCGCGTCGGGCAAAACTGTCCGACAGTGATGTTTCCATTAAGGCCACGTCGGACATACAGGGTGACAATTTAACACTGAGACAAAAAATACTATGAATAAGAAAATGCCATTCAATTACATAAGGATTATATTTATTCAAAAAGAGTATTATAGTGGATCTTAGCCTCTATTTACATTAATGATTTTTAATTTTTACATGATTACAGTTCATGTAGTTGCCTTTTTGGCTGAGCAACTACCATTTATGGTGGAAGGAAGGGGAGGATTCATTGATTTACAGAAAAAACTAATCTTAGATATAGTTACAATGGGGTTATTTACAATATTATGGGGTTGCGTTTCACTGATTATCCAGAGCAACAAATTAGAATTTGATCATCTCTTTTTGGTAATTGGTGTCCCCTGGGGAGGCCGTCCACCATAATAGGTTAGGATCCCATTTGTTGCATTGAATATACTATATACGGTAAGTGCAGCAGTGGGGCACTACCGAATACCGGCGAGAAATGGTTGAATTATAATTTGGTGTTGGGTGTCAGCTGCACAACGTAAATATTCAGCATATAATGGGGCTTTAATAGAATAGCTGAATGCTCTTCAACTTTGCCGCAGGCAAAATTGTTTATGTGTTTTCTAGATGAAGAGTCAATTGATCATATTCTATATTGTAGCTGAAATGAAATGGTCACGGCTTCAAAGGGGTGTTTCTTATTTTAGAAAAATCATTAGGGGGTGGGGGGGGCAAGCCCCATCTCCAAAACAGGAGGGGTTATATTGGAAATAGGATATAGGACAAAAATTGAAATAAGATAATGTTTTTATACTTATAGAATCCTATCTGCTATACCTGAGCGGCTAAAGCAGA